ACAATCCCCCTACTGCGGGGACGTACCTTAGTTCAGTGTTTGCTAACTTCCAGAAATACCAGTTTGTTGGACACAGCACCTGGGAATATTCCTAAGATACAACTGAACAACCAGAATTCTGAGCTGGATTTCACAGAATTTACCAAGAATTTCACTCAGTGCCATACCATAATGCTTCCTCACAGGCAAAGTTCCCTAGAAAGTCAGGAAATACACAGCTTCAGGTTATCTCACTCCTCCTTGCTGACCCCTGCAGAGGCTCTCCCCAGCCTTCCACCTGGTCACGCAGTCCCAGCTCTTCCCTTGTGAGACCCTCCTGACTGAACTAACCAAAACAAATGACTGGCTAAACCAACTCAGCAAAAAATTACTTATTTTCCTACCCAGTTATGCTGTTCCTGGGCTAGTGAGTTGACTCAGACACTGAGGACTGAGAAAGAAGGTGCAAAACCCATTAATTACTGCACAAAAAAAGGGACTGGAAAGCAGAATTGGAAATGAAGAGGTCCTTTTGGCAGTAGTGAGCTGTTAAATTTGAGCACCATCTCCCATGAAATCACTGCGCAAGAACTCATCTCTTTTTCTTTTGCAGGCTTTAGTCCATGTTCATATACATTTAGCTCACAGAAAAGGCCTTAGTTTGTGCGGCTGTTTATTAACGTATATGTTGTGCCAGATTACTTCATGGTTTTTATAAAAAGCAGGATCTCTGCTTTTCACCATTTGATTGAATTGCCAGGGATGATCCTACTAAATTGATGCATTGATGACTAATTGATGATCGTAGTAAATTTTCCAGGAACTGACACTTCAGGACTGAGGGGTAATGACCCATAAATTCAGCTCAATGAGGCTCCAGATCATTCTCCTCAGCCTTCCAAAACAACCTTCTATTATTTTTAACACCACTTTCCTTCTCACTACTTATACATATTTGAAAGCTTACAGAATTTCTTTCTAACAGTCACCTTTCTGCAGCAGAACATAACTGACTTCTTTGTTTAAGTAGAGATTATTAAACCTGAAGCCTCTGAATCTGCATTTTTAACACTACATACTACTCCTCTTCCCTTTCCATAGTCCCTCCTGATGAAGAGACTTTTGCACAAAAATGTTCCAGAATTACAGCTGTCTCAGGGTGCTTTGCTGCTCCTTTTCACCCCACTCAGGACCTTTTCTTCTGTCTCTGGTATTTCAGCAGGACTGTTCCATTCTCCAGACCCCTTCTGGTATCACATTATGTTCTGGGATAACAGTTACCATTAAATCTTACAGCTATGAGTAGCCTTTAGTGTTAATACAGGGAAGACCAACAAAAACCACCCACAGCTTACAGCAGTAGACAGGTCTTTTACCTGATTCATCCAATTCATTCAGTTACTGAAGAGAAAACTGGTTCTCTTTTACCTCAAACCAGGACATTCTGCCAACACCTTCTCTAACAACAGGTAGCCTGAGCAAAAATTTTCAAGGAGAGAGAGAGGGGCTGCATTGCATTTCAGCCCAAGTGCCTTAAAGGGTTCTTGTTTTACACAGAACACTAAAGCAAGGCACAAACTCAGTCCTTCTCCAGAGAGAGTGCATACTCTCAGACGTGAGTGCAGGTGGGCCTAAAAATGGTCACACGTGGTCAACACGGGTGGAACTTTCTGGGGACTGGGCTGTAGGGTTTTAAGAAGCTCAGTATTTTTAACCCTTCTTCTCTTCAGGTCACATTTTCATGAAGATGGAAAAATACATCCCTGAAACTAAAGCAATTGACTTGCCAAATTTGAAAGCTGTTTTTCCAAACCAGAGGGATGCTAGAGGCTGTAAATGGAACTTTCCAAAAACAAAGCAAACAAATCATAATACAAAACAAAACAATGAAAACAAGCTAAAATAAAACAGCTGGAAGCAGATACCCAACAGGGGAAATTTCAGCCCAAATTGGCAGTTATGAACAACTGCAAACTAGAATAGACAGCGCTTAGCAACACTAACACTGGCTTTAGCTGCTAGCTCTGATATACCCTGCTGCTAGGACTGAGGGGTTTGATTTATCATGCTGCCAACAAACTAATTTCATTAAATGTCCTCCCATTAAAAACCTCCCACAGGAGACTACCTGTACTGTAAAATACAGCAACCATTTCACATCAGATAATAGTTTAAGTAACACCTTAGGGAGAACAATACCCAATACTTTTTGTAATTGAAAATGGAAGGGAACATAACAAGCAGCCTATAATTATGCAAATTCAAATTTAACCCAAACTTCAGGGTTGTCCAGTCTACTTTAGTGAGGAGTATCATTGAATCAGTAACCACAACTGGTCATTATCCTAGAGGTGCCAAAAGAGACTGTATTTGTTCTGCTTTGGAGCTCTCTCAAATAGAATTGCATGGTTTTGCTCCATTTAATCCACTGTTTATTTTACTGTGCTTTTAAAGAGCCACAAGTCTCAGAATATTTCATCAAGAAATCCAAGATTTCTGGATCTCAGCTTATGACTCTGCTTTTGGTTTGCATTTTGGAGCCGTCCTGCCCTCAAGTGTCCTATGTTTGTTTTCCAACATTGCTGTACCTTCAGTCTTCCTTCCCACTGGTGAGATAAGGAGAGCGGTTCTGTTTTCCACCGAGCAGATGGACTGGGACAGCTCACAGGGAGTGGGTTTGTGTCACAGCAGTTAACGCTAACAGAAAAAACAAATGGAACATTAGGAGTGGAAACTAAATACTTTAACCCTAATGAGAATAGTGATTCACTTTCCAGCAAGCTCTATGGAGCGGAAAACTCCCACACCTTTAAGCAAAGAAATCTAAAGGAAACACAAGATTTTGGCAGGGATTTTCAAGTGACCCCTGAAGAAGGCAGGTGTCCAAGTCCCACCACACGACATTGTGCGTCTCTCTCTTTTTGTGGCCATGTTTACGCTCAGCCTGTTCGTGGGAACAATGGAAGCGTGGGCAATGTCAGGGGCAGGCACCCCTCGGTTACTGCTGAAGGACACGTTCCGTGCTCGTCAAGAACAGCTCACTTGACAGAAAGCTATAGAAAGCACAGGAAGGGCATGGACCCGTTGGAACCTGTCCAGAGGAGGACCACAAAGAGGGATGGAGCACCTCCCCTATGAAGACAGGCTGAGATTGCTGGGGTTGTTCAGCCTGGAGAAGAGAAGGCTCCGGGGAGACCTTACAGTGGCCTTCCAGTACCTAAAGGGAACCTACAGGAAACATGGGGAGGGACTCTTTATCAGGGAGTGTAGCAATAGAATCATAGAATCATAGAATCATCTAGGTTGGAAGAGACCCTTGGGATCATCGAGTCCAACCATCTACCCTACTCTACAAAGTCCTCCCCTACACCATGTCCCTTAGCACTGCATCTAAACGTCCCTTAAACACAGCCAGGGATGGTGACTCCACCACCTCCCTGGGCAGCCTGTTCCAATGCCCTATCACTCTTTCGGTGAAAAATTCCTTCCTAATGTTCAGTCTAAACCTACCCTTTTGGAGCTTGAAGCCATTCCCTCTCGTTCTGTCACTAATTATCTGTGAGAAGAGACCAGCCCCAACCTCTCTACAGTGTCCTTTCAACTAGTTGTAGAGAGTGATGAGGTCTCCCCTCAGCCTCCTCTTCCACATAATAAACAGTCCCAACTCCCTCAGCCACTCCTCAGGGAGTTGAGACTGTTTAGTATGAGGATGAGGGGTAATAGCTTCAAAGTGAAAAAGAGTAGATTTAGATTAGATATTAGGTAGAAATTCTTTCCTGTGAGGGTGGTGAGGCACTGGAAGAGGTTGCCCAGAGAAACTGTGGCTGCCCCATCCCTGGAGGGGTTCAAGGCCAGGCTGGATGGGGCTTGGAGCAACCTGGTCTGGTGGGAGGTGTCCCTGCCCAGGGCAGGGGAGTTGGAGCTGGATGATCTTTAAGGTCCCTTCCAACTCTAACCATTCTATGATTCCTTAATTAAATACTATGGAGGGCGACAAAATACAAATAAAAATACCTTGTGGTGGATTAGCTCACGCAAACAGGGCTAGCAGATGAGAAGTCACCGCTTCAAAATAACCACATCCATCAGTTTCATAAATCAGCTACGTGTGTGGTACCCGAGTCTTGGGGTCCCAGCGTTTGGTGTGGGTGTCTGCCTGCCCCGCGCCACGCAGGCAGCCCTCCGAGGGGCGAAGATGGAGGCGAGGAGAGGCAGGGCCCCGTGTGAGGGGCAGGCAGCAGAGGGGAGCCCAGCATGGCGGCAGCACCCAGAGACACCGGGGGAGCACTGCCAGCAGCCCCTGGCCACAGCCCATGCCCAGGTCCCCACGGGGTGTGTGCCCTTTGGGGACATGGAGCTCCACAGACATGGCTCTAATGTTGGTTCTTCCATCCCCAACATGGCAGGGCACGGGGTTTTTAGGCTTAAAAGGCTTAAAATAAGCCACGGATCCCTCAGCTACGTATGGAGCCCAGGCACCTGAGGGCAGGGGGAGCTGCCAAAGCGGGAGCTGGGCCCCGACACCCAGGGTGCAAAGCCCCCCCGTCGCCCCGGGCTTGTCTCCCCGACACCCGCCTCAGCCCAAGGCCGCCAAACGCCGCTCCCCCTCCCGGCAAGGGGGCTCCGCCAGC